AATAGAGAAATTAGGTAGAGGCTGGTCACAAGGAGATATTTTTCCTGAAAGAGTACCTACTCGGACTGATTGAAAATGAACTGTCACATGAGAACACTATTTGTGTTCTTCTGACTTACATGTGCTCTAATAAGAATTTCAAATTCTTGCACAATGATGTGTATCTTGCTGCTTAGGTGGGAGCATTTTGATTCCAAACACTTTAAAAACAGAAAGAGGATGATTCATTCCAGGATGACTGCCTGTGTGGGGTGATCGAGGTTATCCCCAGATATATGTCTTTTAACATGTGACATAAGAAACCTTGGTAACAGTGTTAGCATTTTATCACTGTGACTAAAACACAGGACAAGAACAACTTAGAGGAGGAAATGTTTATTTTGGCTCTTGGTTTCAGAGGTCTCAGTCCGTGGTGAGCTGACTCCATTGCTCTGGGCTGGAGATGAAGTAGAACATCATGGCAGAAAAGCATGGCAGAAGACAGCTGCTTGCCTCAGGGCAGCCAAGGAGCAGAGAGAGAACTCAAAAAGCCAGGGACAAAATATATAATCCCCAAGGCACACCCCCAGTGAAGCACTTTGTCCAGCCATACCTCATCTGTTTACAGTTACCACCCAGTAATTCATTCAAATTACTAACCCACTAACTGGATTAATCCATGGATTAGGATATAGCTCTCATAATCTAATCATTGTATCTCCTACCTTTACACAGGAGCTTTTGAGCAACACCTCATATCCAAACCAAAACAGTAAAAATGTAAACAGAAAGAATACCATATTATCATTAGCAGTTATATTCTTAAGGAATAGTAGTTTTCATCTGATAGAGTGGCTAATCAAAAAGGAAGGAAACACATGAAAAGTCTATTTTAAACCCGATAATCTGCCCTCTTCTGGATGGAAAATGCCAAGATGAAGGTAACTGAAATATTTTCAATAGATTGGCAGAATGTAACTTTTGGTCAGAAGAGGCTCGTCATTGTCAGTCTTAGAGTTAGAAGACAGAGCTAAGGCCAGATTCTGCACTTCCCAACCATGACACCTTCAAAAACTGGTTTGCCAATCTGAAAATGGAGAGTCTGACTGATACCTGTCCTAATTTAGTGTTGATAGGAAGCTGAAATTTAGTGTTGATATGATACCAGAAACTTGTGAACATTCTGTGTAAGCTGCAAAGTACCTCCTCCCTCTACTCCAGAAGTTCCCCTCATTTCCACACCCTCAACTTTTTAGTTTCCATTTCTCATTATATATTCACCCAGTTAAATAGCTGTCTCCAGAGATTATTTTGGAAATTCTGCCATAAAGATGATCTGTTCCAATGCCTTCATTTTAAAAATCCCCGAATCAGGGTCCAGAGAGAGGTTGATTAAGATCCTAGTCCTGGTTGGTATCTGAAGTAATACTGACTCTTTGTCACCTAATCATCCAGAGTCTGAAACTGCCCCAGGCTGCCTCATTCAATGAATGCACATGAAAACCTTTTTAATCCTGGTGCAGCCTGCAGTGTTTTGAAATTACCTGAAAAATGGCCTCCTACAGCACAGTCCTTAAAGGAAAGCAAGGTCTTGCGCCTTCAGTCTTCTTTGGATTCTTAGATTTAAAAGTTGTTTATATTGGTCACCAAGCAACCAACTCTTCAGAATTTCTTGAGTTTCCTGATGGAACCTGTGGATTCAATTGGGGGTATCTTTGACTATTGATTCAATTTCCTTCTATAAACTGAGTTTTGAGAAATTATATCATACTTATTGATTGGTGGCTTAGTGGATTTCTTAGTTATTTGAAAAATAAACCTCTAGAGCTAGGCAGTTTAATTTTTTTTTTTTTCCCATAAGGAGTTTGTACATCAGGGATCTCAGGGACCCAGAGTCTGCTTCTGCTAAAAAGCAGTGACTCTTCACTTGGGCCTGTATATGTCTGATAGATAATTAAAAGCAGAATAACAGCTTGACATCTCTATGTTCATTTGCCCCTGTCTCTTTCAAGTACCTCAAACTAGGGGTCAGATTACTGCTCAATTCTCCATGAAGACATGTCAATCATTTAAGGAATGTTCATGTAAACCCGATAATCTGCCCTCTTCTGGATGGAAAATGCCAAGATAAAGGTATCTGTTTGTGACATTTATTGGGTCTCAAGTCAGACGCCTGAATCTGGAAGTCCCAACTACCATTTGGACACTCACTTGCATCGGGAGTAAGATAAAAATTACATAAAAAGGAAAAATGAATTTATTAGCAGTTTGGCCAAATTGGGAAGACAGCTAATCTGCCTTCTCCCAACCTATAGTTATGTTATATTTTATAGGAGGGATCATTCTTGTTGAACAAAAGCCCAGAAATATATACGTGTAGATTCATCTGAGGGAACTGAGAGATGTGTGCTCATTCTGGTTTTCTGGGTTCTGTTGCATCTTCCTGGTGCCAGGGGGCAGGGCTTTGGGAGCAGTTTCAGCTTCTGATTTCAACATGATGTGACTGCCTGTTGGAAGCTGGGATAGAGAAATTAGCTTAAAGAACAGCAATGGCTAGGAATGAGGAAGAAACCACTTGAGGCTTTTCTGAAAATTTCCGATTTTAAGAGTGCCTGTTACAAAATTTGTCCTGATAAGAGGGAAGATTTCTGGGCCGAAGGTTCTGTCTAGTTGGCCCAGGTCATACTTTTCAGATGGTCATATCTTTTGTTTCCCGGCAAGATTGGCATTTGGGACCAGCCTGAGTACTGACTTCAGTGCCTAGGCACAAACTGTACTCAGACCCTGGGCTCCTGAAAAAGGGCAGAGGATGCTTTCTCTCTCTCTCTCTCTCTCTTTTTTTTTTTTTAAAGAGAGTGAGAGAGAGAGAGAATTTTTTTTTAATATTTATTTTTTAGTTCTCGGCGGACATAACATCTTTGAGAGGATGCTTTCTCTAGGATGGAAAGAGAAGGGTCGAAAGATGACAGGACTAAATATTAAAACCTTGTAGATTCCTCAGAAAGTTAAACAGAATTACTGTGAATAGATATCAGTAGACTCATATTTATATGAAAGTCTCTGCTTTCAGTATTTCGGGTGTATACCCAGAAGTGGACCTGTTGGATCATATAGTAGTAATTCTGTCTCAAAAAATAAAAAGGGCTGAGGATGTAGTTCAGTGATAGAGCACCCCTGGGTTCAGTCCCCAGGACCGCAAAACAAATAAACAAAAAAAGAAATACCATGATGAGCTTCCTGGTAGCCACCTATTTACACACATTTGTAAATATTTACTTAGACACTATTCCTCGGAGTGGGATTGAGTCAAAGAGAATGCATCTTTTACTATTTTTATACAGAATGCTCCAATATATGAGTGTATTTTCCAAATTCTCTTCTCAACATAGGATATCATTATGTGAGAGGCAAATAAAGCATAATGGTTCAGAGCATAGGCTGGGGAATCTGTTTGCAAAGGCATGAATCCCAATACTTCCATTTTCTAGATGTGTGATGTTCATCAAATCAGTTAACCCCTCATATAGTCCTTTTTTAAAAAAAAATCCTGTTTTTCAGTTGTAAATGGACACAATACCTTTATTTTGTTTGTTTATTTTTATGTGGTGCTAAGGATCGAACCCAGAGCCTCACACATGCAAGGCAAGCACTCTACCTCTGAGCCACAACCCCAGCCCTTCATATAGTTCTTTTTTAAAAATACTTTTTAGATATACATGACAGTAGTGTATTTTGACATATCATACATACATGGAGTATAACTTCCCATTCTTTTTATTTATTTATTTATTTTTTAGTTGGACACAATATCTTTATTTATTTTTATGTGGTGCTGAGGATCGAAGCCAGGACCTCGAATGTGCTAGGCGAGCGCTCTACTGCTGAGCCACAACCCCAGCCCTAACTTCCCATTCTTGTGGTTGTACATGATGTAGAGTTACACTGGTCATGTTTATATATGAACATAGGAAAGCTATGTCTGATTCATTCTACTATCTTTTCTATTCCCATCCCCCTCCCTTTCTTTTCCTTCATTCCCCTTTGTCTAATCTGTCCAACATAGACCCACCTCATATAATTCTTGTAAGGATTAAGAATTAAATTATTCCCTGTCTTCAGTTCTCAGTATCCCCAACTCCCCACAAATTATATTATTTCCTTTCTTTAAATTCTGAGGCTCTATGCATAAAATACTGGAAGTATCTCATAGAATCAATACAAGAGTAATTGGAGCTGAGGGGAGTTGTGTGATTAACGACCAGTAGGCCTCAAGACAACTTGGAACTAGGTTTGTCTGAGAAGGCTTGTAGGATGGTCTTATTTGGGAGCAGAAGTAAACACAGCTTATACATATCCAGGTTTCTCCAATAACAAGGTTATGAAATTATTAATGTAAAATCTTAACAGGCCTTGGAAGGGGCCTAAAGCTTAAGTTTGATAAAAAACATAACCAATAATTTATGAAAAAATGAAAAAGGTGAGAAATATAGGATGAGCAGGAGATAAAGTTCACCTAACGGAGCAAAATGACAACCCAGTATAGCAAAATCATAATTCCTATTACATCATTTGGCTATTTTTGCTCCTCTATGGATTGCAGCTCAGAGGTTACATAGCTGGCTAGTAAGATGTCAAGACCCTTAGATGGAGGACCGATGTGAAGGATAAGCACTGATAGATAACACACAAGCAAAAAATGTGGTGCATATTTGTAAAGAAAAGGCTTAGAAGTAGTAACGAATGCCAGTTATCCAATAAAGTGATAAAACTGGATTCCAGTCCTGCATTTCTCTCAGCTATTAGGCTTTGCTAGGTGCCAGGTTTCTTTAAAAGCCAGCCCTGGTCCAGGACACTTTTCCTGGGCCAAAGAGAGCCTAAGAAGCAGAACTAGGAAGTTGTTCTTCATCATAAAGCAGTTTTTAGTGGAGGCGGCCTCAAGAAAGTCCATGAGTAACTATTTTCGTTTTCTGATTGGCAGGGCTCCGCCCTTCCCCTCTCCGACAAATGAGAGGCTGGGCCGGGTGGGCACTTAGCTTGCATCAAGCAGCCGGCCACTAGAGGACCTCTAACTTTCTCCCTTCTCCGGTTCAGTTGCGAAGACTGAGTTAAGGTGCAAAATGGTTACCTCTTCGCTCTCTGTCCTGCGAGCGTGCGGGTTGTACCAATGGGGCCTGAAGAATTGGGCGCGAATGTCAGGGCCTCCTCTGCTTAGGCTGGGTGGCCGCAGCACTTGGGCTTCTTCACGGACAACTGCGACACTAAGCCTGAAGCCCTCGGGCCGCTGCTGCTGGGACGAGCCGCTGCACATCGCAGTGCGCGGCCTGGCCCCCCAACAGCCGGTCACGCTGCGCGCGTCCCTGCGCGACGAGAAGGGCGCGCTTTTCCGCGCCAACGCGCGATACCGCGCGGACGCAGAGGGCAAGCTGGACCTGGCGCGCGCGCCCGCGCTGGGCGGCAGCTTCGCGGGCCTGGAGCCCATGGGGCTGATCTGGGCCATGGAGCCTGATAAGCCGTTTTGGCGCCTGGTGAAGCGGGACGTGCAGACGCCCTTCGTGGTGGAGCTGGAGGTGTTGGACGGCCACGAGCCCGACGTCGGGCAGCAGCTGGCCCGGGCGCTGCACGAGCGCCACTTCATGCTGCCCGGGGTGCGGCGGGTGCCAGTGCGGGAGGGCAGGGTGCGGGCCACGCTGTTCCTGCCGCCAGGTGAGCCCCCACCTGGTCCTCATTGTTCCGGTCTAGCACTGTCTCTTGTCTCTGTGTTATTTTGCCTAGGAAAGAGGTAGATCCCAACATCCCAGAGGTCGGAGTTAAGACGATAGGAATTGAAAGAAAAGCTGCCTGGGAGGTGGACCTGTTGCTCTAAATCTGAGAGATTCTTCAATTCCAGGGCTCATCAGCTAAAAGATATCCTAAGGAAAGGGGAAAGACACTTCTGATAATTTTAAAAAGCATCTGTAGTGGGCTGGGGTTGTAGCTGAGTGCTGGAGAGCTTTCCTAGCATGTGTGAAGCACTGGGTTCAATTCTCAACACCACATATAAATAAGTAACATAAAGGTCCATTAGCAACTAAAAAAAAATTAAAAAACAAAAACAAAAAACCCGTATGTAGGTAGTTTCAACTTTTTAATGGTCTTTAAAAGTTTCTCAGTTTTACAACTTTTCTCCTCATTCCCACAGTATGTTAAGGTTTATGTAAATTAGCAGTTATAAAAGGAGGAAGTCCTCTTCCTGTCAACTGGGAATCTAAGGAGATTATTGGAAACTTTTATATACATAAAGTTATTGGTCAGTGAAAAAAAATGAAAGGATGCTTAGCTTCATTAGTAATGAAGGAGATGCAAAAATAAAAATACAGAATGCATCTCATAACCTCAAGAGTGGCAAAGATTTAGAACTCTGACATGACCAATTGTTACCAAGTACCTGGAAGAAAGAAACTCATGTACGAAGCAGAAGCAGTCACAGTGTTCAGCTACTCTGGGAAAAAAATTTTCTGCAGTTACCTAGTTGAATATGGCTTTCTACTTGTTCTGGTACATGTGCACCCAGAGGCATGTTGTTTGCTAACAGCCCGAATATCCACCAACAGTGGAAGTGATGGATAGGTGGAGCTGTTTCCAGCAAAGGGAATGAGCCACAGCTGCAAGAATCAACTTGTTCCCCACAGTGTTAGGTGACACAATCAAATACCAGAACACATTCAGTATCTTTGCATTGAGATAAAATTCACAAGGCAGGCAAGAGAAGCAAAATGTTATTTAAGGTGCATACGTACTTATGTAAGTGGTGATATTATCAAGAAAACTGGTAGGCCATGGTGGCCTAGAAGGATGGGTCATTCTAGGATAGCCTCAGCAAAGGCTGGAGATGTAGCTCACTGTTAGGGCGCCCCCTGGGTTCAATTCTCAGTACTGCTTCAAACAATAAATTATATATATGTGCGTGTGTGTGTGTGTGTGTGTGTGTGTGTATAGAAAACTAATAGTAAGACATACACCAAGGGGGGCGGGAAATGGACAAAGGGATTCAGAGACTTACATTACATGGTGCCTAGCAAGTGTTTGTTGTGTTTTTCTCTAAACTGGATATGTAAAAGAGAAATTTTCATATTATATAAATGGTGAAAATACCTTATGCATGTAATCATGCAAAATGGAGCCTTTTATTTATTTTTTATTGTAGGGTTGAGGATTGAACCTAAAGCCTTGCATCTGCTAGTCTAGTGCTTCACCAGCCCTAGTAAGTAGCATTTTGAGTCTGTGCCCATTAGCATTTGAGACTTTTGAGCTGTTCTGTGTGATGCAAAATATGGATATAGCACAGTTTATATTCATTCACCAGTCAAAGCACATTTGTTTGCAGTTTGTGGCAATTATATAAGGCTGCTACAAACACTTCGACACAAGCTTTTGTGTGAAGACAGTTTTTATTTCTCTTGGGTAAAGACCTAGGCATGGGATTTTGGGGTCATATAGGAAGAATACATTGGCCTTTAGAGGAAACTGTCAACTGATTTCTTCACAGACTGCACTATTTTGCATTACAATCAGCATTGTATGACAGACAGTTCCAGTGGCTGTGCATTCTCTGGCAGTTGGCATTGTCCACTTTTGGGGATTAGGAAAGGCCATATGTTTGTTGCTCTTATTGTTCATTTTTTGTGTGTGTGTGTGTGTGTGTATTTTTTTTCAATGCTGTTACACCCAGGGCATCACTCATGCCAGCCAGGTGCTGTATCACGGGGCCATAAAGTGTTTTTGATCTCAAAAGAAATACAAGGTCTTTGTGAAAATTCGTGGGGCTTTTGTGATACAGAGGGGAATGTGGATTTAGCCTAGGCCACTCTCTGGATGTTTGGATACCAGAGGTCTTTAAGCATTTTTGATAGTGGAAAAGTTGTTCATCTCCCAGTAGGTAATATATGGCTTTTGACGACACTGCAAAGACTTAAAAGGATGAGCAGATAATCCTTGCTTATTTTATAACTCCATTTTCTATTCTGTTTTGTTTCTCCCCAAGAACCTGGGCCCTATCCTGGGATTGTGGACCTGTTTGGACTTGGAGGTGGCCTTCTGGAGTACCGAGCTAGTCTGCTGGCTGGCAAAGGTTTTGCTGTGATGGCTCTGGCTTATTATGGCTATGATGACCTTCCCCGGAGCCTAGAGACTGTGCACCTGGAGTACTTTGAGGAAGCTGTGAACTACCTGCTCCATCACCCTGAGGTTAGATCTCTTCTTAGTTTTGTGGGCTGCTCCCCACCTCATGCGTGCTTTTGGTTTCACAGAAATCAGCCCATTCTTTTTTTTTTAATGTTTATTTTTTAGTTGTAATTGGACAAAATATCTTTATTTTATTTATTTATATGTGGTGCTGAGGATGAAATCCAGGGTCTCACACGTGCTAGTCGAGCACTCTACCACTGAATCAGCCCCACAGCCCATTCTTGGGGGCCTCTCCTAATCCAGCAGCCACTGCCTTGCATAGACACTTCTCAGGGATACTTCTGTGCAGTTCTACATTATCACATTTCCTGTTAGTAAAGAGGTTACTAGTTGATATTCTGGAATTCTGAATTCCAGTTTGTTTTAGTATTTCATAGGCTACCTTTGAGAACCTTGAGATCGACAGGAAGTAAACTGTAATAAAAGGCCATGACCTTCCCCAGGAGACGCCTGCTTGTAAGTCTTTGTGCTCAGCCACCCTCTCTCCCCCATACCCCTGTGAGAGCACAGGGTTAACCTTAAAGAAGGAAATTGACAGCCATCATCTGAGTTCCTGGAATAGTTTATGGTTTTTAGACTCAGTGTAGCCAAGAATGAGGAGGCAGTCCTTGCTAATTGTATAATTCAATCAGGGCACAATATGGATGGAAGCACTGGAGCTCTCAGAAAAGGTGATATGATTGGGCGTGGTGGCACACACTTGTAATCCCAGCAGCTCAGGAGGCTGAGGCAGGAGGATCACAATTTCAAAGCCAGCCTCAGCAACTTATCAAGGCTCTAAGTAACTTAGTGAGATCCTGTCTCCAAAGGAAAAAAAAATTTTTTCAAAAGACTGGGGATGTGGCATGTAGCTCATTTGTTAATCAGGCCTGGATTCAATCCCTGGTACAAAAAGAGAGAGAGAAAGAAAGGTAATATGACCAGGCACCATGATGCACACCAATAATATCAGTAACTCTGGATGCTGAGGTAGGAGATTACAAATTCAAGGCCAGCCTGGGCAATTTAGTGAGCCCCTGGCTCAAAATAAAAAATAAAGGGCTGGGGATGTGACTTAGTGGTAGAACACCACTGGGTTCAATCCCCAGTTAAACACACCAATTATGTAGTTTCTAAAGCAGGAAGAATGTGTATGTGTGTGTGTGTGTGTGTGTGTATATATATATATTTGTAGATGGACACAATACCTTTAATTTATTTATTTTTTATGTGGTGCCAGGGATCAAACCCGTGCCTCACACATGCTAGGCGAGTGCTCTACTGCTGAGCCACAACCCAGCCCCAGAATGTATATATTTTTTTAGGTAAAAAAACATACTTTTTCATGTTCAATGTCAAGGGGTGACCCTCCTTGAAGGGCAAGGAAGCTCCTTTTCTGAAGATTTGTTTCCTCACTCAGGATAAGGGCCTTAAGCAGGCCAGGCTATTCCTGCTTCACTATGTGTGACTGCACAGGACTTCCTGCAGTTCCCAGAGCACCGGCTCTCTTCCCTATGCTTGTGACATGCCATCTTCTTGGAATGTCCTCTTCACCTCCTTTTCTTGTCAAGGGTGAAGGTGATTAGAAAGCTTACAGGAGCCAGGTGTGATGGTATACACCTGTAAACCCAGCTCCTCAGGAGGCAGAGGCAGGAAGATCTCTAGTTTGAGGCCAGCCTCAGCAGCTTTTTGTGGCCCTAAGCAACTTTCAGAGACCCTTGTGAAAATAAAAAAGGATTGGGGATGTCACTCAGTGGTAAAGTGCCCCTGGATTCAATCCCTAGTACCTTAATAATAAGTATAATAAAGAAAAAGAAAAGGTGATTGGGTGTAGTGAAAAAAGTATAAGATATACACAAAGATAAGTTAAATTGGGCATTTTATTTTGCCAATGTCTTAACTCCATATGTTGTCACATCTACTTCCTCTGACAACCTGGATTGATTAAAATATCACTTAGTTCTTACCACTTTCATGAAACCAGTAAGGGTGCTGTTACGGAAGCCACAAAGAAACAACAAAGACTGCTGGGAGGGCTGGGGCGCAGCTCAGTGGTAGAGCACTTGCCTAGCATGTCTGAGGCACTGGGTTTGGTTCCCAGCACCATATAAATAAACAAAATAAAGGTATCGTGTTTATCTGCAACTAAAATTAAAAAAAAAAAACTGCTGTGAGAGGTCTATCAAATGGCCATCTGTTGATAACATAGAGGACTTTGGAATATAGGACAAGAGCAGCCAGTCCCACGGGATAGTACAAACCCGAACTAACATTTGATAGGTTAATACTTTGTTTTTTAGGGATTTTGGGGGGTGGGGGTAGGGAAATATTGGGGATTGAACTCAGGGCACTTGAACACTAAGCTGCATCCCCAGCCTTATTTTGTATTTTATTTAGAGACAGGGTCTCACTGAGTTTCTTAGTAGCTCGCTTTTGCAGAGGCTGGCTTTGAACTTGTGATCCTCCTGCCTCAGCCTCCCAAGCCGCTGGGATTACAGACATGCACCGCTGCATGTGACTTAGATTAATAATTTGAATGGATTACTGGGTGGTAACTCTAGGAAGGTGGAGATGGCTGGGTAAGTGGGCCACTAGGGGATTATATTATGCCACAGACTTCTCGCTTGAGCTCTCTCCACCCCCTGGCTGTCCTGAGCTGAGCAGCTTTCCTTTGCCACACCTTCTGCCATGATGTTCTGCCTCGATTCAGGTCCAGAGCAATGGAGTAGGCTGGACATGACTGAGACCTCTGAAACATGAGCACATAAAAAATTTTCCTCCCTTTAGGTTGTTCTTATAAGGTAGGGAGGAAGCATATGTAGACTTCCCTAGGTTACAACATGGAGAGAAGGTAGAGCTCAGATTCAGGCTCAGATCCAGCTGATTTCCCACATGGTCACTGTTCACTCTATTACAAGGATGGGAGATTCATTCTTCTTTTTCTTCTGTCCCATTTTCAGGTAAAGGGTCCAGGGATTGGGCTGCTTGGGAATTCCAAAGGAGGAGAACTCTGCCTTGCCATATCCTCTTTCCTGAAGGGCATCACGGCTGCAGTCATAATCAATGGCTCTGTGGCTGTTGTTGGGGCAAGCATACACTACAAGGACGAGACGCTGCCCCCTGTGGGTATCATGAGAGATCGAATCAAGGTGACCAAAGATGGCATCATGGATGTTGTGGAAGCCCTGAAAAGTCCTTTGGAAGACCAGAAGAGCTTTATTCCCGTGGAGAAGTCTGACACCACCTTCCTGTTCCTTGTGGGTCAGGATGACCACAACTGGAAGAGCGAGTTCTATGCTAATGAGGCCTCTAAACGCTTGCAGGCCCATGGGAAGGAGAAGCCCCAGATCATCTGTTACCCAGAAGCAGGACACTACATTGAGCCCCCTTACTGGCCCCTGTGCAGGGCTGCCCATCATGTCTTGGTGGGTGGTCCTATTGTCTATGGAGGGGAACCCAGGGCTCATACCATGGCCCAGCTGGATGTGTGGGAACAACTCCAGACTTTCTTTCACAAACACCTGGGTGGTGAGAGTTAAGGAGGGCTCTTCCAAAAATTTAACCCATTATCTAAAGGTTTGGAGGATAAAACTTGAATATATTCTAAGGACACCAGTTAAGATTAGTTCAACTGATTAGAGGAGTTATTATTATAACTCTTCTAAGTTGCATACTGTTATTTTTAAATATTACTATTCAAAATAGTGTCTATCCAAGGGCTGGGGTTGTAGCTCAATAGTAGAGCACTTGCCTAGCATGCACAAGGTCCTAGGTTTAATCCCCAATACCTCAAAAAAAAAAAAAGTGCCTATCCAAAAAATGATATCAGGAATGAAAAGGGAGCCTTAAGTATATACACTTTTATTAAATTAAAAATTGGACCAGTATAGACAAAGCAATTGTCTCTTTCATTTCTTAGGTTACTGCTGCTACCCATGCAGCAACAACAAAGGATCTTGAGTAGGGGCTATGAGAGATTAAGAAAAACACAGAGGGCTGGGATGTGGCTCAAGCGGTAGCGCGCTTGCCTGGCATGCATGCGGCCCGGGTTCGATCCTCAGCACCACATACAAAGATGTTGTGTCCGCCGATAACTAAAAAAAAATAAATATTAAAATTCTAAAAAAAAAAAAAAAAAGAAAAACACAGAGACATTTTTAAGCAAGGCTGGGGCCAAGTGGGACACTGCCCTCTGATGGAGAAATAGTGACACAGAACTAGCTCAGCATGTTTATTATATAGGGTCTCATTATCAGGAAGTTTAACTACAGAAGCTTTGTAAATTGTTCAAGGCTTGTGAGTTATGAAGAGGCTTCTTTGTGTACTATAAAGTTACAGAGCTAGAAACATTTTTGTAGTTATCCTGCTGTTACAGTGTTAGGAACTTCCTGCTGCTATCCTGCTGTACCCAGAAAACCCATTTACTAGAACATCCGACTATTTCCCAGGAGTGGCTTTTTCCTACACTGTAGTATCAGCCGATAACTGGGGCTCATTCACTTTCCATAGGATATTGTCCCCTCTATCACCCTCATTCCTGGAAGTCATATTTGGGATATATTATTATGTATCTTTCCAGATGTTATGCTTTAATATACTATATGTAACAATAAAAATGCTTTTTATCGCACAAATATATTTTAACAAGAATATTTATTTTACAAAACAAGTAAATATTGGGGAAAGAGGACCTTCTATCTGACATAAACCCTATGCAACAGCAACACATGGGACTGACAAACATTTTATTCTGGGAAGGAAAATAGTGGTTGGGGAGGAAAACAGAGCCTCCAGGACACCTCTATGAAGCTCAGCACTAATGCTTATAACTGATCTGTGAGGCAAATAAAGGATGTGGGCAGGCAAAAGATCTGTCTACAACTTTTTAAGGCCAAAGTAATCTGCTAAGTCAGTTGTCTCGAGCTGTCCATGGATTGCATGTGGGTCACCACTCATGGAAACCTTGTGTATAGAGACATATGATATCTGGGAATAGCCAGTGGACATTTCCTCTGGTCAATTGTCCAGGTGTTGAGAGCCATAGCAGAAGGGGCCCCAGCAAACTTCCAGCTGCCAGCAAACTTCCAGCTGCCAGCTGATGATTGGCTCACAGCGGCCCCAGCAAACTTCTAGTTGCCAACTGATTGGCTCCTCTGCGGTGATGCTCATTGGGCTGTTTCCCCACCCTTTCAGACCAGGGAGCTGCTCATTGGGGGACTTTTTTGGCTCCGCCCACGCGACCCAGCCAATCGGCCTCAAGAGCAGGAGGAGTGGGGGAGGTTGAGAGGCTTGTAGGAAGCCTGTGGTGGAAGTTGGGCTCGGAAGGTTTTCCTCAAGAGCTGTGTGGTTTGGCGTGTGTTCTAAAAATAAAGTTTGTTTCTTTTGACAAGTGTCTCCTGTATTGTGCCCAGCCAGACTGCGGCATCCAGGGACAGTGTGAATCTCTTTCTTGCTCTGCCGTAGCCCTCATAGCACCTGAGATGGGTGTGACCTGCCAAGATGTCAATCAACCTGCTGACTGCAAAACATTTGGAAGCAAAACTCCCCTTTTGAAACCTTATCCCTGCCTTTGATGTGCCCCTTTAAATAAACCTAGGGAGCCATCTTGTTTTTGTCTAGTTCCAGAACCCATGTGGACTAGATCTATCAGGGGCTTCGTTGCCTGTAAATATATTTCTGAATATCTATGCTTTGTTATTTGCTAATTATCTGAGATTGCAAGTTTTAGGGTGGCTTAGATTCCTGGGCAGAAAGAAGGATGTCTTATTGAGATGCTTGCCACTGTTCTCTCCCCAAAAGTCAGTGCTTGATATTCAGCATGTAGGGGAGGAGGATTTCTTGCCCTCATCCATTGCTAGGTTCCTGGCTGAGTCCCCTACAACAGAAGATAGATCATCATGAGAAAAGTACATGAACTTATTTAACATACGTTTTGCATGATATAGGGGTCTTCAGAAATGAAGTACCAAAGGAACATAGAAATCTGTGTATTTTTATGCACTTTGATGAGGTAATGTATAGGTGTGGAGAAATATGTTTGGATAAAGGGGGTGTGATATAATGGTAATTAACCAGGTTTGGGGATGGACTTTTTAAATCCTATTTAAAAGATTATTCTGTGTCCTTCTGTCTTCAGAGTAAGGTTGTTCCTTTTTTTCCAGGTATAGGGAGTGTTTTAGTCAGCTTTTTCACTGTTGTGACTAAAAGACTTGACCAGAACAATTGTAGAAGAGAAACGTTTATTTAGGGCTCATGGTTTTAGAGGTCTCAATCCATAGACAGCCATCTTCATTCTTCCATTCCTCGGGGCTTGAGGTAAGGCAGAGAACCTCATGGCGGAAGAGTGTGGCAGATGAAAGTGGCTCACATGATGATCAGAAAGGAGAGAGAGACTCTACTCGCCAGATATAAAATATATACCCCAAAGACACACTCCCAAAGACCCACCTCCTCTAGCCATACCCTACCGACCTTCAGTTACCTCTTAGTTAATCCCATCAGGGGATCGATTCACTGATTGGGTTGATTCATAACTTAATCATTTCTCCTCTAAACTTTCTTGCACTGTCTCACATGTTAGCCTCTGGGGAACACCTCACATCCAACTATAACAGGAAGGGTACTGCCTGAATGAAGGTCTTATGATCTACTTCAGGGGAAAAGTGTGGGAGCAAGTCAGAGATTGACCTGTCTAGGTTTTATGACCTGCATCTTCTGTTTTCTCAAATGCAAAGTTACCATATTTTATAGTAGCATGCCTTAAATTCCATCATTCCCCTGCCTAAAATTTTCACCATTCAGAGTAGGTTGATGGATTGTCCCATAAGCCATTGAACTGGTCTCTCAACCCAAGGTATGGGTCAGTACAGTTAAAGAGAGGTATATCTTATTGTGTGAGGCAGTGTTTGTAGGTAGGCTTCCACTAAAGTTGGGTGTCCACTAAAGTTAAGTCTCCATATAATTTGTGCAATCAAAGGCATTTCTATGGGATCAAAATGACTAATGTTTAGAAAGAACTTTACACCCAGTTTCTGAGTCCAGAGGACAGTCACTGAGAAAGATTTCTAGATATTCTCTAAGCATCTTCAGATGGTGTCATGAGGACAGGCAATCTGGCAGATTTTTCTGATTTGTGGTTTGCATCAGGTGTTCCAGTATACTTTCTGAGCACCTCACAAGGTAACCAGTACAAGAAGTGTTGTGATTTTTTCTAAGGTATATCTCAAGCTTTCCAACTTTAGCTTATAGGCCTTTGGGAAAAGTTAGTTTCTGTTTTCAGTACTACTGAGCCAGAAGTTGGGGAGAAAATTTGGAATAAACATAGGGAGCCAGATATTGGGAAAAAACTAGAATTCAGGATCTAGTCTAGTTTATAAGTATATAACAAAACCTAGAATCTGATATATCCACGAGGATGTACTACAGTTTTCTGTTGAAAAAAAAATTCTCTCAACAGTCACCTCCATTTCTATTAAAGATGGTCAAAGCAAAATTAATTTGTGAAATACAAAGTACTAGGGATTAAATCCAGGGCCTTGAACATACTAAGCATGCCCAACATGATACAAAGATTATGTAGCTTTCATTCTACAAATTTAGCTATGTGATAGGTATGATAATATAAAACTTACTAGTTCATAGAAGAATAATGGATCTGAATTGGATATCTGGCAAATGCACAAAATTAGGATTACCCACTCAGATAACTAAAGCTTTCTAGTAACACCATGGAAAAAACATTTCAAAATTTTTCATTTATGCTTATATGCAATCTTATGAATCTGTAGACTACAATTTAGCCAAGTGACTGAGGAGACACTTTAGGAGGGGACACCAAGGAGACAAATAGCAGCTATTTGAATGTCTTCAAAGTTCAAGTGAGTGGATAGAATATCTATTTGACTCCATATCTACTTTTTTGCAAAGTTTCAACTCTCTAAACTGCCAAAAGTATTAAGCCACATACTCAAGGCAGGATAAATACCAAGAAAACCATATTTAACAAATCAGAGTAAAATTGTTTATGGTAGTTTTATAGCAGAGTTGTAGATTCTTTCATATATTCCCACAAGTAGTAGTAGATCTATGGCCACACTGTGACTTTGACAATCAGTAGAGCAGAACAGAAGTGGTGCTGTGTGGCTTCCGAGGCTGGGTACAGAGGTCACGAAGGTCTGACTTGGTTGCTGGAAACATGCTCTCATAATCCTGAGCCACCACATCTGAAGGGTGACTACCTTCAGGTTTTGGTGCTATAGGGAGCCCAAAGTACAGGAGAGGCCAACTGGTGGGACTCCTGTGGTACGTCCAAGGGAGGTGAAACTGAGTTATCACAGCCCACCTGCCAGATAATGCGAGTTAAAAAAAAAAAAGATCCCAGATGATTCCAGACCCACATGTTTGACTCTTCCCAGAAAATGCCTTAAACATGCTGGAGCGGAGAAGAGTTGTCCCTGGGGAGCCCTGTCCAAAGTGTGGAAATGAAAACAAAAAAAGTGAGTGTTCTTATTTTAGGTGATTTATGTTTGAGGTTTATTTCAGTTATCTACGTAACAACAATATTTACCAATGTGTTGGCTTAAAGCAATATCCATTTATTTTTTTCTCAAGACTGCCAATTGGATAGACTTTAGTAGGAATGGATCACCTCTGTTCCAAGTGGCATTGGCTGGGGCAGTTTGACAGGGAGTTGGAGGATATGCTTTCAGGGTAGGGAGGTTGTGCTGGCTATCAACTGGCAGGGCTGTGGGTTAGGGAAGGTTCTCTGTTTCTCTCCACTTGAGCTTTTTTACTGGTTACTGGCATTGAGTTCCAAGAGTGAGTATCCCAAGTCAGCAAGGTGCAATCACATGGCCTTCCTTTGACCTAGTCTTAGGAGCTACATAGCATCTCTCTTGCCATACTCTATTGGTCATCATAGGTCTGTGTGCTTCGCAATACAGGTGATGCAGAAAGTGGTCAGACAGAGCCGAGTGGTGGGGGCACACGCCTGTAATACCAGTGGCTCAGGAGCCTGAGGCAGGAGGATTGCAAGTTCAAAGCCAGCCTCAGCAGAAGCAAGGCACTAAGCAACTCAGTGAGACCCTGTCGCTAAATAAAATTCAAAATAAGGTTGGGGATGTGGCTTAGTGGTTGAGTGTCCCCAAGTTCACTCCCCAGTACCTGTAAGAAAAAAAAAAAAAGAAAGAAAGAAACTGATCAGATATATTACAAAGTAGAGCTTCAGAACTGCCTTTTGGATAGAATGTTAATGGAAAAGAGAGAAAACAAGACTAACTCCAAGTTTATTTTCCCTGAACAAATGGATGAATAGATGTGCTCCTTGCTGAGACAAAGAATACTGGGAAAAGTGCAAGTTTGGGAAAAATCAGCTTTCAGTTTTTGCCGTGTTATGCTTGAGTGCCTGTTGGACATCCAAGTGAAGATGCCAAATGACAATTAGGTCTACAGGAATGAATCTCTGAGGACACCTTGGGGCTGGGAATATAAAAAGCTGCTTTTATGTGAACTTCTGCAGACTGTGAACTTCTGAGCCCCTCCTCTTACATGCTGGATATCAATACTCAGCAAACTGGAAAGTGACAGAATAAAAACTGAATTGTCATTTTCATGTTCATTTTCTGTTAATATGTGC